CTGGGGTAATCCCAAGATGAGAGTCCTTACCCAGAGGCTCCATAGTAGTTCCTTTTTGGGGGTTCATATTTCGAATCCGATAAGGTAATCCCAAACAGGAACTACTATGGAGCCTCTGGGTTTATAAAGGATCCTCCATCCTACCTACCTTTTGAGGCCTCCGACTGTAGAGCTCTGAAAGCCTCCAAGTGGATCTTTCCGGACCTCCCGTGGTACCCTCGATCCAACACCCAGAGAGCCCAAAACCCCTTAATTAAGGAATATAGCTTAAACCAAAATATGAATCCCCTTGTAATTTAGGGTATATTCCTTAACTAAGGGTCTTGGGCTCTCTGGGCACCAGAACTACATGCCTAAACTATACGGGGGCCGCAACAGTTAGAACTTGGCTTCGGGGTACATTTTAGCATGACTATAAATACAGAATAAGTATAAATACAAAATACATATAGATGTATATATATATATGTATGTACATATATAGATATAGACATACATAAATACGTACATACATACTGACAGACATGCATACAAACACACATGCATACTACGTCTGCCCTGGAGATACTTGAGAGGTGGCACGTCCAGCTAGCGATGTAGTGGGGTTCGGTTCACTTCCAAGGCTCTAAGGGTCCACTTTTTCTTTGTAGGCTCTCAATGATCCAAAAACGTCTCGGGTTTCGGATTTCCTGGTTGGAGTCCAAGATTCATAGGGAAGGCTTCAGTATTGGAGGATATGGCGGACACGCGGCCGTGAACGCAGCCACAGAACCATAGAGAAATAAGCTGGCTGTCCTTTTTCCAAGCACCCTCTCATCGCTTGCTCCCGTCATCGTACAATGACTCACCGATGAGAAGTAAGGAAGTCCAGGAACCCCGTAGCTAAAGCTGGAAGCAGAAGATCAACGTTTGGCATATAGTTCCCAGGATCGACTTACAGCATTAGAGTTGCGAGCAATGAGGACATTTCAGCTGATATGGCTGTTGGAGCAGCCCTGAGGGTGCAACTGAGTGAGAAAGCGTGGCCAACCACAGTGAAACACACCACTCATTTACAGGTCAATATCGGGGCCCGACTTGTCAGAAAAGTGGAATGCTACGGGGATACTATGGCGAATGGTTTAGGAGTCGAGGGTCCTTGTTTTGGTGTGAGTGGCAAAGGCCCGCCGGCGTCCAGGCAGGCAAAGGCAAAGCGCTCCTCTTTGGAGTGCCCTCAATCCTAGACCATAAGCCCTAATCCCGAAACCCTGAACCCTAAACCGTAAAGGCACTAAACCCTGAACCCTAAACCCTAAAGGCCCTAAACCCTGAACCCTAAACCTTCAACCCAAAAACACGCGTAACCTTACCTCAACCGTGAGCCCTCGACTTCCACTGCAAGCCTTGACGACCAGGGCGCCTCTTCACAAGCCCACATTGAGGGCAAGCCGGGTGAGACTGCTGATCTTCATGGGTAGTTCTCTAAACTGGGGTCCTTTTTAAAGTCCTTGTTATAAGGGTGCCGTACTGTTCTTGGCACCTAGAAGGCGACCCTAATTTAGGGAACTACCCCCATGCACAATAATGGGATCAGGCTTGCTTTCAAACCCTAAAACCTAAACTCCATTCCCCGCCCCTTCTTAGAGCAGGGATCACTCAGGAGTCTAGGGTCGCGCGCTTGCCTGGGCTCAGGGCTTAGGGTTTAGAGTTTAGGGTTCAGCGTTTAGGGTTTAGGGAGCTTCGTAGTCATGACAAAGGCGTAGTTTCAACTGGTTTGGTTCTTTTTGAGATTTGTTCTGTCTCTTGCAATACTCAGCCGGTGACGGTGCGCACTAGCAACAATGCCGCACTGCCGATGCTAACGGTAGCGGTGCCAAAACTGCTGGCATGAATAGCCCGAGTAGTAGAGGTATGCAAGCCCTGCAAACAACACGAACATTGCTAAGTTTTTACCAGGAAGACTGACATACGCAGATTTGTAGCGCAATCGTACAAAGCACCAGAGCAGAATCTGACTGAAAAGAAGCGCTATGATCAAGTAGCCACGGCAATCTTGCGATGATGAAAACCATCATCACCACAATCACCGTCATCACCATCGTCATCACCATCGTCATCAGCATCAGCACAAGCAATCGCGCAGGTAAGGGCAATAAGACTAATGATTAATGGTACCTTGTAGCAACGGACAAACCCTGAACTTTGTAAACAGCTCTAACACCGGGGCCACAGGCTTACGGCATTCGAGCCTGGGTTTTGCCGGCCCCTCCCTGGAGATTTCTGGTTGAAGCATGCAGGGTTCGGCTTTACGGCTGGGTTGAGGGGTTTGGGCTTTTTTGGGCTTGAGGCTTTATGGTTTAGAAACCGTGGATACTAAACCCCAAACCATGAAGCTCAAGGCTCTTGAACTAATAAATGGGTGGCTGTCCAAAATAGGGTCCCTTTTGGGGTCCTTATTATTATACGGCACCTATTATTTAGGGCACCCAAAAAGGGCCCCTAGTTTTGACAGCCACCCATCTCGAAAGATTCGATCTGAAAATCCGAGGCTCATTCATGCCCTCGACCCGAAGCCCTTAGCCCCATAATCCGAAGGCCTGACCAAAGTTTAAGTTTTAGGCTGTTCAGTAGCCCACTGGGAGAAACTATATACGCTTTTAGGCTTCTTGTTTTATAATGGGAACCCAGAAACTTAAACCTGGAAGGAAAAGGTCTGAGGCGAAGGAACGAGTAGAGGGCCCGATGGGAGGGGAGGGGGGGGGAAGGGGGGCAGGTTTAGGGTTTTCTTTTGGGGGGGAGGGGGGGGAAGTGGCTGGGCTACTACAAGGCATACTACACAGAGAGGCCTAAGTATTTGTTGTCTTTGCCGGGTGTTCTACTGGACATAAGCCAAGGAACCCCGTCGCTTTCCGTGGAATGGGTCCCACTAATTAGCCCTGAATAGCTGGGGCATCGGCTTTTCCACTTCAGCAACTTGTCTAAGTCGTTGTTCACCATATTGATGTAGGCTTTCAGCTTTCCGTTCCCGCCTCATGGCAGTGGATCCTTGCATGCTGTTCCCTGAAGCCGAATGCGTAGCAGACTTTGCCAAAGTCATGGCAAGAGCTAAGGTCGAAACGCACCATGCCCAGCACGACTCCTTGTGCAAGGCAGAATAAGGTTTTGGGGTATTCTCCACTAAACCTCCACTCGGGGTCCCCTATGATTGCTTGCTTCTGAATACCCCAAAATTTTGCCGTACTTCAATTCCACAGTTATATTGCACCTACATCAGGAAATCCTACAATGTATTCCTATTTCAAGGAACCCTCGGAGGGCAACGGGGGGTAGAACTGTCAGGCCTTCTTTTGAAGCCCCTCGTCTGAATCACACAGCTCCCGTGACGCTTCCTAACCCTAAACCCTAAACTCGGTTCAGGGCTTTCGCGTTTCAGGCCAGGGACTGAAGGTTTAGCGTTTTAGGCTTGGGGTTCAGGGTTTAGGGTTCAGGGTTTAGGGTTCAGGGTTTAGGGTTCAGAGTTTAGGGTTTAGGACATTGTCCAGCGTAGGCTTGCCGAGTTTGGGTGTAGAGTGAGCACTCAAACCACCAGACCCTAGATCCTAAACCCCTAAAACCCTGAACCCTTAACCCCTAAACCCTGAACCCCTAAACCCTAAACCCCTGAACTCCTAAACCCTCAACCCTAAACCCTGAACCCCGAAACCCTAAACCCTTTACCCGAAACCCTAAACCCTGAACCCCATAACCCTAAACCGACACAGGCGGAGGCCCAAAATGACCGAAGGAAAGATGATCGAAGCATCCCAGTGGGCCTTTGGACCGTGCTCTTCTGCAGCTGTGTAGTGACGGTCACGGCATATCCGTTTAGGGTTTAGGGTTTAAGGTTTAGGGTTTAGGGTTTTATATTCATGTTTCTGAACTATAAGGCGTAACGAGGGTTCCGTTCAAAATTGGATCGGGAGCATGCTATTACGAGGAACCCTGAATCCAAATACCCACTCCACCCAAGCCCGAACCTGAGTCTGGGTGAGGGTTTAGGGTTGAGGGTTTAGGGTACCGCTTTTGCTGACATGTCGCTGGCCGAATCGATCAGCTTTCTGTCTCCAATCTGCCTGCCGGAAGGAACACCCCGAAACCCTAAACCCGAAACCCTAAACCCTAAACCCTAAACCCTCCCTCTAAAACCAAAGCCCCGAACCCTCCCTGAACCCCAAAAGCCCAGAATTACGCCGCGAAGCGATGTGGGTTTAGGGCTCGTGGGTCTGCCCAGAGAGCCCAATACCCCTTAAACTATAAGGGGGTTCACATTATGATTTAAGCTATCTTCCCTTGTTAAGGGGTGTTGGGCTCTCTGGGTAGACACTCGTATATAACCTGACCTTGCGACTCTGAGATGGGAGCTGCTATCCCTCCCATGACAGGGCCCTAGGGTTTAGGGTTTAGGGGTGATCCCAAGCACCCTGCAACAACGAATCCCGATGCAGATAAAGCTCTGGCAAAAAATAATCTGCAGTCTAGGGTCTAGAGTGGGTCACTGCAGCAGTTTGGACACGTACCAGCTTCTGTTCTGAAATACAGCACCCCTCAGGGCGATGATGCCTTAAAAATTAAGTACAACTCAGTTCGCCAGTGTGATGCGGTGTTGCTGCGACGTCGGGCTTTGCACGGAAACAGCTTGAGGCTACAGGACCAGGTACCGCTACTGCTGGTAAGCTTTAGATTTTAGGGCTCCGTTCGTTACCCTGTCCTATACGTCTTGCCGGTGTGGCATTTCTTATGTGTCTCACTGTTCCTGTTGTAGCGGCTTGCACTGTAGCTGTACCGTCGCTGCTCTTGCTATGTACTGCTCGCGTTGTTTACAAACCTTGCCAGATCTGAAACATGTGAAAGTCATAACCCCCTACTCACTAACCGTGGCCGCAAGCAAGACAAAAACGAGCTCTTTATGCAAAGGCGGACGTGTGACCCTCGAGTTCACTCGAATGACTCTCGCACGCGCGCTGGGTCTCAAAGTCCGCGGATCAATGGAAACTTAGGTCCCGCTCGGCATCATCAGACCATTGGCCTCGTTGAGCGTAGTGCTGCCATTCCCGCTTTCCCAAACTGTAGGGGAACCTAGGACACTCGGACGGATCAAGCCAGTTGCGCAGCGATGACACCCAGCCATCCTGTAAACACGATCGGACTCTGGCGGCTAAAGCCTGATCCAGGTCACATTGGCCTTTGACGCAATCGATGCAGATGAGCGGCTTCTCACGTAGCAAGAGCGCGTTCCTCGCACGAGGATCGTCCTGCTTTTCGAGCATTTTCGTCACCGTCTCAGCCAGCTCCGTGCAGGTGCCCCGCATGTCGACCAGCAGAATTTGTGGACGAAAGTCGGAGACCCTGGTAGTTGATATTTCAGCTCCCAGGGTCTGGAGTTCAGCAGACCAAAAGACAGACCTAGGAGGTGCTTTTAAAGCCTTTGAAAAATATTAGTAGGTAAGATCCTCTTAAGCCCAAAAAGGGAAAATATAAAATGTCGCAAAGCCCTACCTAGAGACTCCTTTAAGGACCACTCTTCGTTCGGGTCCAGCTCTTTGTTCACGACGGCCACCACCGAGGCCTGCTTCTGCGACGCCATTCCACGCACGAAGGCCTGGCTTGCGCCAACCCAGAAGTTAAGAACGGGACCCCTGTCCCAGAAAGGATTACCAGCTTGGATGTCCTTGAAGCACCGTCTTAAAGCACCCGGATCACCTCTGCAGCCATGGAGGTCGTTGTTCTTCTGAACCACTTGTCCCAGAATGGTGCTGGGGTGGACGATGCTCGTGTCCACCATGCTAGAAAAGTTCTGCAAGGCCTTATGGGTTAAACCCCGAGGGTCGCCATCGTAGAAACCAGCCCATAGCATCGCCTCCTGAGGTGGTTTAGCTAGTTGAGCGGCAAAGTGCGTCGTGCTGGACTGCCCGGTAAGCCACGTAAAGAGGTCGGAGATGCAATCTCGTTCCGAATGTCCTTCGATCTTGGCACATTCCTCAACCAGGTTCTTCATCAGTCCTTGCATCTCACTTCGGCACTGCTGCCCCAAGGCCTTCGTAATGACGTCGGTCAGGGTGTCCAAGGTGTCCGGTGCAATATGCTGGGAATGCCAACAGTCCTGCTTGCCGAATCTTGCTCTGCACCAAAAGTTCCCGGATAGCTTACTCCAACCATGAAAAAACTATACTATAGGGGCCTTATAACAAGAAACCCCCAAAACAGCATTGGTAATAAAACCCCTGTATTGCGAGTTTCAATGTCCTCGTCATAAGATATGAACGAGTCTTTGGCAGCTCGGATGGCAACTGCCGTGATGGCGCCGAAGGCGAGATACGCAATGGCATCGAACGAGAACATGCCGGGTTTAGCAAAGTACCGGGTTTCTGGGTCCGCTCAGAGCTGAGCCGACGCGTGCGGAGAAGTTGAAGCTCGGGGCTGTAGAAGCTGAAGGTTACGGTCCTAGGGTTTTGGGGGGGCTAGCGCTTAAAGCCCTTGCAACACCCATGCAAAATCTTGCAAGGCCCTTCTGCCTTTACAAAAACCCTGACGATGTTGAAGAATCCGAAACCCGAAACCCTGAACGTTAAACCCTCCTCGCAAAAACTTTAACCAAACGCTTGAAGAGCTCTCCTCAACCTCTAAACTCGATGTAAATATGTTTGGCATGTTTGCCGTGCAGGTGTGTAGGTGTGTAGGTGTGTGTGTATATATATATATATATATATAGTATATTACATGTATAATGTATTACCTATAAAGTAGAATAATGCAGGATATTTCATACCGTATATAAAGGTTATATTATACATGTATTACACATATTTTAAATATGTAGATATTATATATGCTCAATACTGTATATATATATATATATATATGTATATATATACATATATGTTATACTGTATTATATTGTATTATGTTGTATTATGCTTACTATACTGAGTTGTATGAGATATATTAATAGTATAACAAATATGTGTATATATATATATGGATATATAATATAATGTAGTATTCTATATCATAATGCCATGTTGTGTTATATTCTGCCATAGCATTGTATATATATATATATATATATATATGTATATATGTATATATGTATATATGTGTGTGTATTATGTTATATTATACGGAACTATATTGTATCATATTGCATTACATAAACCTGTAAATACAAACAAATAAATGAACATATATACATATATATATACATATATGTATCCTGAAAAGCAATATATACATATATATGTATATGTATATGTATATGTATATATATATATATATATATATATATGTATGTGTACATCCTGAAAAGACTCAATGAGAAAAGAGGCACCTGGCGAGGTCGAAGTGCTGTTCCAAAAGCTCCACAGACTTCTCGTGGTTGCCGCGGCTGTTGTAGAGGATGCCCAGGTTTAAGCCTGGGCTGGGTTTAGCATTTGGGGCGTAAGTGTTTAGGGGTTTGGGTGTAGCGTTTAGGGCTTATGGGTTTAGGGTTTTGGGGTTTGTTAGGGCTTTAGGGGTTTAGGGTTTTGGGGTTTAGCGTTTAGGGGTTTAGGGTTTTGGGGTTTTGGGGTTTTGGGTTTAGAGGTTTAGGGGATTAGGGGTTTGGGGTTTAGGGTTTGGGGCTCAACCCCTGAACCCTCAAAACCCCTAAAACCCCAAACCCCCAAACCCTAATGTAGTTAAAATCCCTTATTATAGTTATAGTTTTAGTATAATATGCCCCCAAACCCTATTTTAATCATTAAAGCCCCTACAGAGTCCAAGGCTGCAGGATTTGGGGCTCTGTTTTGTATATGCCGGACTGGTTAGGGTTTGGGGTTTAGCGCCGTCGGTTTAGGTTGTAGGGTTTTCTTAATTCGAGCCAAATCGTGGGTTAGTGCGGGGTGTAGAAGAAAACATACGGTCAGGGATGATAGTGTCTCGGGATAGATACCATATGAAAAAATCGTCAAGTACGATACCAGTACCAACGCTTCACAAGGGATGACGCTAAACCCTAAAGCCCTAAACCCGTAGTAAGGCCCCAAACCTTAAACCATAGACCGCGAAGTCATGAATCAAATCCCTTGTATTCCGTACAAGTAGCCCTTCTCATATTTTACAATGCTGACGCTATGATATTCACTTAGTTTATTATATATGTTGACCATGGTTATACTAACAGCAACCCTTCTTATACGATAGTAAACCTTACTGGGTTGCAGTTGTGGAACCTCTTATTGCAAGCTCCCTCTATGATATCTACCCTTCTTAGGATGTAGTAAGCCTTCTTGCATATTCCCGTAGCCCGTCTCGTATACGATTGTAGCCCGTCTTATAAAAACCAAAATAGCAGCCACTAAACCCTAAGCCCCGAAATCCTGAACTATCCTTATATCATAATTACAGGAACCGATAGACCGTAACTGTAGCAACCCTTTTTGCAAGCCCCCTTAACCCTAAACTCTCAACCCTAGACCCTAGAACCTAAACCCTAAAACCCTGAACCCTCAAACCCTAAACCCTAAAACCCTAAGCCCTATACCCTAAACTGCAGACCCTCAAACCCTAAAGCCTCAAGCCCCTGGACCCCTACAGTCATCCCCATAACGTTGGAAACCAAGCCAAATAGTGCTGGGATTCCTGATACGTTACTCTTAAGGGGTGAGGCTATTGGGTTTCCAACTTTTGGGCTTCTACTGTAGGGCCCTTAAGAATAAGAATAGGATCCCTTTAACGGGGCTTACAAGGGTTACTATAAGGGATCTATTATAGTACCCTTATAGATCCCTTAAACCCTATTTTCTACTGTAAACTGCAGACCCTCAAGCCCTAAACCCTAAAGCCTCAAACCCCTGGACCCCTAAAGCCCTAAACCCCATGATAGTACCCTTATGGAGCCCTTATAGATCCCTTAAACCCCTAGTAAACTGCAGACCAGCTAGATATTATCGTAGCCCCTTGAAGGTAAATTATAGGGGATCCTACCATTAATCCATATTCCAACTTTCTGGAGTTCCCTTTAAACTGCATGACCCCTAAAGATCCCTTAAACCCTATGTAAGGGATCTATTCTAGTACCCTTATAGAGCCCTTAAACCCTAGTAAACTGCAGACCAGCGACATGCACCGGCCTGAGCCTTCAGCTCCCCCGCCTCGCTGGCAACCTCGGATCTAAGAAGGAAAGGTCTTAGGGGTTTGGGCTTTTAGGGTTTAGGGTTTAGGGGTTTAGGGGTTTAGGGGTTTAGGGTTTTGGGTTTAGGCTTTAGGGCTTAGGGGTTTAGGGGTTTAGGGTTTAGGGTTTGGGCTTTGGGTTCCCTTAAAGGGTCCCTTACAGGGCCGTCAAAGGGATCTACAGGGGATCAAAAGAGGGTTCAAGGTTTGGGGTTTGGGCTTCGGGATCTAAGACGAAAAGGGGGAGGGTTTCAATGGGTCCAGAAGGCTACCTTTAAGGGATCTCTATAGGGGTTCCTTGAGAGGGATCCATAAGGGTTCTATAAGGAATCTATGGACTTTAGGGTTTGGGGCGTAGGGTTTGGAGTTCAGGGCTCGGGGTTGAAAGCTTGGAGTTAGGGGCTTGGGGTGTAAAATTTAGGGTAAGGGGTGTCAAAGTTTAGCTTTAGCGTCCATAAAAACCTAAACCCTCAACCCAGTGGTGCTCTTACGGTTTAGGTTTTCGTGTAAACTCTGAACCCTAAACCCTGAACCCTAAACCCTAAACCTAAAGCCCTAAAGCCCTAAACCCCTAAACCCCTATGCGATCACCCTTATCCACAGCAGAGGTTCGTTGTCTTTCGGTTTAACTTGAGGCACCTGCCTCGGATACTTGTTGCCAGAAACTCCTAATCGCTTCCCCCTAATATTTAAGCCCCCCCTAATATAAAAATAACTCGCCGCCGGGATTTCGCGGTTTCGGGCCACAACTGAAAGTTAATTCAAAACATTAAGGGCATCACGGAGGAACCTGATGCGGCCTAACCTTCCATGCTTGATACCCACGTCAACAACGGATGCGGCACGAGTCTCACAACTTAACGGACATCCGCTCCAGACCCACACGACCCCCCAGCACCCTTAAGCCTTCAAGCACAAAACTCAAAGGTTGGGTACGGTAATAGTTGGATAATGTTCATAGTATAGATATAGTAGGACCTTAATAGTAGCCCTATTATGGACTCTTGCTGTATGGGGGCAGTACCTAACTCAGAGGCGTGAAAACCTGCACCCCAAATCCTTGAAACGTAAGCTCTAGACTCCCACAGATACGAACAGCGCAAAAAAACACGCAACACCGATAAGAAACGCAAGAAGCCAGTGGTGGCTGCAGTAGTGGTAGTAGTAGTAGTAGTAGTAGTAGTAGTAGTAGTAGCAGGAGTAGTAGTAGTAGTAGTAGTAGTAGTAGTAGTAGTAGTAGTAGTAGCAGGAGTAGTAGTAGTAGTAGTAGTAGTAGTAGTAGTAGTAGTAGTAGTAGTAGTAGTAGTAGGTGTAGTAGTTGTAGTAGTGTAGTAGGTGTAGTAGTCGTCATCGTTGTCGTAGTAGTAATAGCAAACCTCTCTTGCAGAAGCATGCACGAATTACCTGAGGCATGTGCGCTCAGGAGATTCTCGAGCTGTTTGATGGCCTCTTGCGTGTCGCCAGTGGCCTCTGCAGCGTACAGATGAGGGTTTAAGGTTTCGGGGTTAGGACCAAGGGCCAAGGGTTGAGGTAGTGGCTAGACTGAAACCGACAACGCTTAGAAGCAGCCTCGCGATGCTAGACCTACTGTGAGTGTGAAGTATGGGTTTTACTATGCACTAATGCACTACCCAAAATAACACCCTGAAATACAGACTCAGCAATGTTCGTAAAGAGCCTACATACACTCAGGAGCAACACTGCAAGACATTGCAGGAACACTGCAAAACGTTGCAGGATGCGAAAGGCAAACCACCTAAGCGAGAAGCCTGCATCCCAGTAGTAGTAGTAGTAGTAGTAGTAGTAGTAGTAGTAGTAGTAGTAGTAGTAGTAGTAGTAGTAGTAGTAGTAGTAGTGTAGTAGTAGTAGTAGTAGTAGTAATAGTGGTAGTAATTAGTAGTAGTAGTAGTAGTAGTAGTAGTAGTAGTAGTAGTAGTAGTAGTAGTAGTAGTAGTAGTAGTAGTAGTAGCAGTAGTAGTAGTCGTAGTCGTAGTCGTAGTCGTAGTCGTAGTCGTAGTAGTAGTAGTAGCAGCAGTAGTAGTAGTAGCAGTAGTAGTAGTAGTTGTTGTTGTTCGTCACTCAAGGATTCAACAGCTTTGCTTTCCGTTCGACCTCGTACGCTTGCGCCAGCGCTGCGCGTGCGGCACTCTCGCCGACGCGGTCGTCGTGGATCCTGCAAGGACTCTATTGAAAGTGCACAAGGTCCTCCTCCTCCCCCTCCTCCTCCTACGACACTACCACTACTACTACGACGACGATGACGACGACTACCACTACCACTCCCACTCCCTACTCCCTACTCCCACTCCCACTCCCACTCCCACTCCCACTGTCACTGCCACTTCCACTGCCACAACCACCACCACCGCTGCCGCTACCGCTCCTGCTACCTGGTACCTGCTACCTGCGAAAAAGCCTCCAGACCTACCTCTCCACCTTTGTCGCAAAAACGCAGCCTAGAAAGTTCCTTCGAGTGATCCTCACTATACCGCTTCTTGCAAACCCTTGCAGCCACTCACCGCCCGTACAGGATCAAGCATTTCGGGTTCAACTCACTTCCGAAAACTGGCCCTCTTCTTCGTGTGGCAGGTAACTCTGGAAAGGCATTACATAATAACATCCCAGTATAGTATGCCCCACAAGCCAGTCGGAAGTCCTCCGCATGAACAATGCTCCTAAACCGATGACTGTAAACCGATGACTGTCGATCGTAACTTGCATGGCCACGGATGCCAGAATATTGTTTCCAAGCCGACTATTGCGACCATGACAGCCGCATCCAGCGCTTTTGGGGTTAAGGGTTTAGGACCCAGAGACTCCAACATCCCTTAATTAAGGAATATACCTTAAATTATAGTAGGATCCCTAACATGACTTAAGGTATATTCCTTAATTAAGGGATGTTGGAGTCTCTGGGAAAGGCTGCTGCCCACAATTGGCCCCCTGGATCCCAAAGGCTGCAACCGGTACGCGACACCATACACCGGAAACCCTAAACCCTAAACCCTAAACCCCTAAACCCTAAACCCTAAACCCTAAACCGAGCATACCTTAGGTACGGCCCCCTTACAGTAAGACTCTATGATAGGGCCACTATTAAGATCCTAGTATATCTAATTCAACTATTACTGAGTGGGGGCCGTACCTAAAGCATACCTCCATAAGCCAGAAACACGAATTGCATCATAAAAACTTAGACCCACAACCCGAAACCCTCAACAGCATGCATGGTGACCATATACCCTTTCACAAACAAGTGAAATAAACTGTACAACACCCCATACTCTTCAAAGCAGCCGTAAGATCTTTCAAAATTCGACCCTAAACCACCGGAGTGTCTGAACCCCAACCCCGAAACCTTTAATTCAAAACGCTAAACCCCAAGACTATGCACCGAGTGCCTGCAAATCTCGAGGTATTGCCTCTGCAACTCGACCGCCTGCCTCGGCTAGGGGTTGGGTTTCTCTGGGGTTTTCAGGAGTGTTTCAAAGCGGCTCAGGCTTCAGGGATTGGAGCTTAACCCTTGTGGGTGTTAGGGGCTTACGGTTCAGGATTTTAAGGTTTAGTTGGGGTTTGAAGTTTAGGGTTTTAAGGTTTAGTTCAGAGTTTCAGGTTCAAGAATTTACGGTATACCTCAACTAAACCGTTTAGTTGAGGGGGTGAGGTTTAGGGTTTTAGGGTCCTGCAATCTGGCATTTGGAAATTACAACGCTTTGTTTTGTGAGCACGAGTTCCACTGTGAAGACTGGTACATCTGTTCAGAAGCCCCGAGAAAACCACCATCCCTACACAACTTTTGCAAACCCTTGTAAAGCCCCAACACAACCCTTGTAAAATCCTCCTGAGCCCTTACAAAACCGTGATGAGACCCGTTTGAAGAAGCCCAGCAGAGATGTCATAGAGCGCTAAGTTAAAACAATTAAACTGAAGCTCCCACCAAAGTACGCAGGCTAGGGTGTAGAGTCTAAGGCCGTAATCCCTGAACCCCTAAACAACACACCCTAACCCCTAAAACCATGACGTCTAAGGCCCTAAACCCTAAACCCCTAAACCCCTAAACCCTAGACTCTAAAACCCTAAACCCCTTAACCATAAGCCCGTTTTCAGTCCTCAGCCGAGCATCTCATAGTTGCCGGTCTTCTGCTTGGATAATCCTAGCCTCGGTCCAGCACGGTTTCGGGTTTAGGGTTTAGGATTTAAGGGTTAGGGGTTTAGGGTTTAGGGTTTAGGATTTAGGGGTTAGGGGTTTAGGGTTTAGGGTTTAGGATTTAGGGGTTAGGGGTTTAGGGTTTAGAATTTTACAAGGGTTCCTTTTACAGGTTCTACAAGGATTTGGTGGTTCGTGTTACGACGCAGAGTTCAGGGTTGAGGGGGTGTAGGGATTCAGGGCTTAGGGTTGAGGCTTTCGTGATTTTCAACGGCCTTTGTACACTTCTTTAATGGTTTTCTTATCTCGCTGAATGTGTTCTTCTACCACGGCCTGAAAGCCAGCAGCATGAGGATCAGCCACCCTGCTGCTGCGTTTACAAAGCCTCAAAGCCAGAGCATCATGAGCATCGCTGCTCCTGTAGCCGCTGCAAAACAAGTTCCACGGTCTGAAGGCTAGCATCAAGGAGTATCCCATCAGCAGCGACTGCAAAGCCTCAAGGCCTAAATCATGAGCATCAGCCGGCAACTTACAAAAATTCGTGACCCGACGGCGTGGCCATAAACACCGACTCCAAAAGATGAAAATCAGCATCATGAGTATCAGCCACCCCTTCGGCTGCCATCGACAGCGATTACAACGCCTCAATGCCAGCATCATGAGCTTCAGCCGCCCTTTCGGCTGCAATCAACAGCGATTACAAAGCCTGAAGGCCAGCATCATGAGCTTCAGCCGCCCTTTCGGCTGCAATCAACAACGGCTACAAAGCATCAAGGCCAGCATCATGAGCATCAGCCGCCCCTTCGATTGCAATCAACATGGATTACAAAGCCTCAGCATCATGAGCATCAGCCGAACCTTTGGCAGCCATCAACAGCAATTACAACGCCTCAAGGCCAGCATCATGAGAATCAGCCGCCGCTTCGGCTGCAATCAACAGCGGTTGCAAAGCCTCAAGGCCAGCATCATGAGCTTCAGCCGCCCCTTCGACTGTCATCAACAGCAATAACAAAGCCTCCAGGCCAGCATCATGAGCATCAGCCGCCCCTTCGGCTGCCATCAATAGCGATTACAACGCCTCAAGGCCAGCATCATGAGCATCAGCCGCCCCTTCGGCCATCAACAGCAACTACAAAGCCTCAAGGCCAGCATCATGAGCATATCAGATACAAGCCTCACGGCCAGCATCATGAGCATCCGCCGCACTATCGGCTGCCATCAACAAAGAATCACAGCCAACATCATGAGCATCAGCCGCCTTTTCGGCTGCAAGCAATATCAATCACAAAGCCTCAAAGCCAGCATCATGAGCATCAGCCGCCCTTCGGCTGCAATCCGCAGCGATGACAAAGCCTCAAATCCATCGAGAAGGGCCCGTCCCACGGACAGACAAGTCAAAACAAGACCAGCGGGCCCACGGGCCCACGGGCTCACGGGCCAGCGGGCCCACGGGCCCACGGGCCCACGGGACCATGCACGGGCCCACGGGCCCACGGGCTCACGGGCCAGCGGGCCCACGGACCCACGGGCCCACGGCCCCACGGGCTCACGGGCCAGCGGGCCCATACACGGACCCACGGGCCATGTATGTATGTATGTATGTATGTATGTATGTATGTATGTATGTATGTGTGTGTGTGTGTATGTATGTATGTATGTGTGTGTGTGTGTATGTATGTATGTATGTATGTATGTGTGTGTGTATGTATGTATGTGTGTGTGTGTATGTATGTATGTATGTATGTAGGTATGTATGTATGTATGTATGTATGTATATATGTATATATGTGTGTATGTATGTTTGTATGTGTGTGTATGTATGTATGTATGTATGTGTATGTATGTGTATGTATGTATGTGTGTATGTATGTAGGTATGTATGTATTTATGTATGTATGTAAGTATGTATGTATGTATGTAAGTATGTATGTATGTATATATGTATATATGTATGTATGTATGTATATATGTAAATATGTATACATGTATCTATGTATATATGTACATATGTATATATGTATATATGTATTTATGTACATATGTATATATGTGCATATGTATGTATGTATATATGTATATATGTATATATGTATATATGTATATATGTACCTATGTATATGTAAACGTGTATGCATGTATGCATGTATGCATGTGTGTATGTATGCGTGTATGTATATATGTATGTAGGGGGGTGGTAGGATTTCTGATTTTAAAATCAGGGGCGCCCCACCAGTCCAAGGCTCCATCCTCGGAGTTCAGGGGTGGTAAGAGTTCTGATTTTAAAGTCAGGGGCGCCCCATCAGTCCAAGGCTCCATCCTCGGAGTTCACGGGCGGCAAGAGAGTTCTGAGTTTAAAATCAGGAGCGCCCCATCAGTCCAAGGCTCCATCTTCGGACTATGTAAATGCATATATGCTACGTCTGTAAATATTTGTGTGCATGCATGCTTGCAATTGTATATGTGCATACTTTTATGTACATATGTATATGTGTAAGTAAATGTATGTGCATTTGTGTACATGCTTGTGTATATATGTATATATGTATATATGTATGTATGTATATATGTATATATGTATATATGTATATATGTATATATGTATATATGTATATATGTATATATGTATCCTATGTATATGTAAACGTGTATGCATGTATGCATGTATGCATGTGTGTATGTATGCGTGTATGTATATATGTATGTAGGGGGGTGGTAGGATTTCTGATTTTAAAATCAGGGGCGCCCCATCAGTCCAAGGCTCCATCCTCGGAGTTCAGGGGTGGTAAGAGTTCTGATTTTAAAGGTCAGGGGCGCCCCATCAGTCCAAGGCTCCATCCTCGGAGTTCACGGGCGGCAAGAGAGTTCTGAGTTTAAAATCAGGAGCGCCCCATCAGTCCAAGGCTCCATCTTCGGACTATGTAAATGCATATATGCTACGTCTGTAAATATTTGTGTGCATGCATGCTTGCAATTGTATATGTGCATACTTTTATGTACATATGTATATGTGTAAGTAAATGTATGTGCATTTGTGTACATGCTTGTGTGTATATATGTATATATGTATATATGTACCTATGTATATGTAAACGTGTATGCATGTATGCATGTATGCATGTGTGTATGTATGCGTGTATGTATATATGTATGTAGGGGGGTGGTAGGATTTCTGATTTTAAAATCAGGGGCGCCCCATCAGTCCAAGGCTCCATCCTCGGAGTTCAGGGGTGGTAAGAGTTCTGATTTTAAAGTCAGGGGCGCCCCATCAGTCCAAGGCTCCATCCTCGGAGTTCACGGGCGGCAAGAGAGTTCTGAGTTTAAAATCAGGAGCGCCCCATCAGTCCAAGGCTCCATCTTCGGACTATGTAAATGCATATATGCTACGTCTGTAAATATTTGTGTGCATGCATGCTTGCAATTGTATATGTGCATACTTTTATGTACATATGTATATGTGTAAGTATATGTATGTGCATTTGTGTACATGCTTGTGTGTATGTGTGTATGCCCTTGTAGACAAGGAGTACTAGGCAATACTTGGCATGATTAGTCAGGGCTTCATGGGTTTATGTACATGTATAGCAGGAGCATTAGGCCATACTTAACATGATTACTCAGCATGAACGCAGGACACTGTAAATAAGGATTCAATGTCTCTCCGGCTTGCAACCATTCTTACCACCCCGACCCTAGCACTGCCCATGACCAGCGGGCCCACGGGCTCAACGGGCCCACGGGCCCACGGGCTCGCGGGCCCACGGGCCCGCCACGGGCCCACCAACGGGCCCACGGGCCCACGGCCCCACGGGCCCACGGGCCCACGGGCCCGTCCGCCGAAAAGACCATGCCCAATCCATCACGAGCATCAGCCGCCCCTTCGGTTGCCATCGTATTCCTTCTGCTGCCAGCTCAATGCCAGCATCATGCGCATCAGCCATTTCTTCGGCTGCCATCAGCAGAATTACAAAAGTCCAGCATTATGAGCATCAGCCGCCCCTGCTGCCATCAACAGCGATTACAAAGCCTCAAGAAGGCCAGCATCATGAGCATCAGCTGTCCCTTCGGCTGCAACCAACAGCGGCTACACAGCCTCAAAGCCAGCATCATGAGCTTCAGCCGCCCCTTCGGCTGTAATCAACAGCGGCTACACAACCTCAAAGCCAGCATCATGAGCATCAGCCGCCCCTTCGGCTGCAATCAACAGGGGCTGCAAAGCCTCAAAGCCAGCATCATGAGCATCAGCTGCCCCTTCGGCTGCACTCAACAGGGTTGCAAAGCCTCAAAGCCAGCATCATGAGCATCAGCCGCCCCTTCGGCTGCAATCAACAGGGGTTGCAAAGCCTCAAAGCCAGCATCATGAGCATCACCGGTGCCCCTTCGGCTGCAAGCAACAGGGGTTGCAAAGCCTCAAAGCCAGCATCATGAGCATCACGGCTGCCCCTTCGGCTGCAAGCAACAGGGGTTGCAAAGCCTCAAAGCCAGCATCATGAGCATCACGGCTGCCCCTTCGGCTGCAATCAACAGGGGTTGCAAAGCCTCAAAGCCAGCATCATGAGCATCAGCCGCCCCTTCGGCTGCAATCAACAGGGGTTGCAAAGCCTCAAAGCCAGCATCATGAGCATCAGCCGCCCCTTCGGCTGCAATCAACAGCGGTTGCAAAGCCTCAAAGCCAGCATCATGAGCATCAGCCGCCCCTTCGGCTGCAATCAACAGCGGCTACACAACCTCAAAGCCAGCATCATGCGCATCAGCCGCCCCTTCGGCTGCAATCGACAGGGGTTGCAAAGCCTCAAAGCCAGCATCATGAGCATCAGCCGCCCGGTTGGTTGGAATGAACAGGGGTTGCAAAGCCTCAAAGCCAGCATCATGAGCATCACCGGTGCCCCTTCGGCTGCAATCAACAGGGGTTGCAAAGCCTCAAAGCCAGCATCATGAGCATCAGCCGCCCCTTCGGCTGCAATCAACAGGGGTTGCAAAGCCTCAAAGCCAGCATCATGAGCATCACGGCTGCCCCTTCGGCTGCAATCAACAGCTTCGGCTGCAATCAACAGGGGTTGCAAAGCCTCAAAGCCAGCATCATGAGCATCACGTCTGCCCCTTCGGCTGCAATCAACAGGGGTTGCAAAGCCTCAAAGCCAGCATCATGGGCATCAGCCGCCCCTTCGGCTGCAATCAACAGGGGTTGCAAAGCCTCAAAGCCAGCATCATGAGCATCACCGGTGCCCCTTCGGCTGCAAGCAACAGGGGTTGCAAAGCCTCAAAGCCAGCATCATGAGCATCAGCCGCCCCTTCGGCTGCAATCAACAGGGGTTGCAAAGCCTCAAAGCCAGCATCATGAGCATCAGCCGCCCCTTCGGCTGCAAGCAACAGGGGTTGCAAAGCCTCAAAGCCAGCATCATGAGCATCAGCCGCCCCTTCGGCTGCAAGCAACAGGGGTTGCAAAGCCTCAAAGCCAGCATCATGAGCATCACCTGTGCCCCTTCGGCTGCAAGCAACAGGGGTTGCAAAGCCTCAAAGCCAGCATCATGAGCATCAGCCGCCCCTTCGGCTGCAATCAACAGGGGTTGCAAAGCCTCAAAGCCAGCATCATGAGCATCACGGCTGTCCCTTCGGCTGCACTCAACAGGGTTGCAAAGCCTCAAAGCCAGCATCATGAGCATCAGCCGCCCCTTCGGCTGCAATCAACAGGGGTTGCAAAGCTTCAAAGCCAGCATCATGAGCGTCACGGCTGCCCCTTCGGCTGCAATCAACAGCTTCGGCTGCAATCAACAGGGGTTGCAAAGCCTCAAAGCCAGCATCATGAGCATCACGGCTGCCCCTTCGGCTGCAATCAACAGGGGTTGCAAAGCCTCAAAGCCAGCATCATGAGCATCAGCCGCCCCTTCGGCTGCAATCAACAGGGGTTGCAAAGCCTCAAAGCCAGCATCATGAGCATCCCGGCTGCCCCTTAGGCTGCAATCAACAGGGGGCCCCTTCGGCTGCAATCAGCAGGGGTTGCAAAGCCACAAAGCCAGCATCATGAGCATCACGGCTGCCATTAACAGCAATTACAAAGCCTCAAGGCCATCATCCGAAGCATCAGCTGCACCCTTTTGTTTTTGTAAGTCCGCTGCTTCGATACTGCGACTAGAAAAGAATTATGGGTAGTGTAGTGGTGTTTAGGTTCCTTTTTGGGATTAGATAAGGATTTTCCTGCCCAAGAAGGTTCAAGGTTACCTACTCTACTGCTATGCTGAGTCTTACGGCTTCTACACGGGGACCGCTGTTATTCGAGCTCAAGCTATGTGGAACGACGTTGATTGTAAGGGCTTCGCCGAGAATGTTGTAGTGCTCTTGATGGGTTTATGGGGGCTCGGCATGTCTTCAAATTGTAAAGGAGTTAGGGTTTAGGGTTTAGGGATTTAAGGATATATGGGTGGTTGTCCCTTTTGGGGTCCTTAATATAATACGGCACCTAATATTTAGGGTACCCAAAAAGGTACCATAATTTTGAGAACTATCCATGTGATTTAGGGTTTTGGGCGTCTAAAATCCACTTCCAGTCTGGGGGCTGCAGGTGGCCCAGCTTTCACCAGGTGGGACAGGCCACCGGTACTTCGGGAAGTGATAGAATATGTAAAATTTGGGTTTAAGGCCTAGGTTTTAAACCCTACACTCCAAACACCGAACAATGTTCTGCTGGAACAAAGCTCAGTCAATCTCTGATGCCTCCTCTCCTTCCATTCGGAGGAGGTTCTGGACTCCAAACCCGACTTCCCACACCCTGCACCCACCCTTTAGAATTGGGCAATAACCTCTGCGGCGCCGCCTATAAATCCTTGGCCCTGACCCACCACACCCCAAACCGAGGAAGCCACCCGAAACGCTAAACCCCAAAGCCTGAGCCCGAAGACGAAACGGTGTCTGCTTAAACCCGGGAGACAACCGGTTCTTTAGGGTTTAGGATTTAGGGTTTCGAGTTTACGGTTTCAAAGTTTACCGTTTAAGCTTGGAGGTTTAGGGTTGAGAGTTTAAGGTATAGAAGTTCGGGTGCAGGATTTAGGGTTCGGGGCTTCCTCAGCTTGCTTCCCAGCTGCTTGTGACAGGCAGTTCCCTCGAGCGTCGCGTCCTTCCGGTTGTAAGGTTTTCACAAGGGTTCGCAGCCCAGTGACTATGAGTTTCGAGCAAATTAGGCTAAGGTTTTCTGACAGGCTTCATACTTGTTGGAGCCCTAAAATGAACGGCTTAGGGTTTCGGAAAGTTTAGGGCTTACGAAGACTGTCACTAAGTCCTCAGGCTAACCCTCCCAAACCAGCCTAGACCGAAGAAGCGCAAGACGACAGAGAAAACGACCGTAGAAAACCACGAAGAGAACACCCCCACAGCACGGCAAAAGTCAAAAGTCAAATCAAGCGACGGAATTTAGAAACCAGACGGGGGACCCCTTGCGGGTACCCTCGGCATTTGGAGGAGCACGCAGACGAGCTGCGTTTTTGACGGTTCGGGCCTCTCGAAGGTAGCGACGAGACGAAACAGCAACCCTAAACCCCAAAACCCGCTACCTTAAGTTTGTCGTCCCCGTGAACGCCGCCGGCCTGGAATTTTTGAAAAAACGCGATCAAGGGCTAAAATGTGGGCCGGCACATAGTGTCACCACACTGTTTGCCAAACAAGCTTCTCAAAAACTTCTTAGATAGCAAACCCTAGGGCTCTGAGGACTCACATATTAAGGCTTTTGGGCCCAAAGACCACAATATATGGTCACGCGCTCTGCAGTCCCCCCCCCTGCCCCCCCAAAGGTTAATGGTCCGGATATAGGGTGGGGCCCCCCCTCCCCTGTGGTGTGGGGTGCGGGGTTCCTCTTCCCCCTGTGGGGTGGTTGTGGGGTTTTGGGGTTTAGGGTTTGGCTTGGGTGTAGCGTTTAAGTACAAGTTAAGGTTGCTCAAAACAGGGGCACGCGCTGCGTCATAGGGTTTACGGCTTGCTTGCGAAGGGCTTGCGCGTGAGCCCTGGCCGCCAGCACCACCCCACCATCCAGTGGCAGCCCCCAACCCCTTTCCGCACACGCCAGGCCCCCCCCCCACCCCTGTCAGACCATACCATTGGGGGGGGGGGGGGCTGGGAACGCCAGACGCCTGACCATATATAAGGCCTGTGGGCTATATTGATTCCCAGCAAATTCAGATAAAACACGTTCAACGAAAACTCAACCCTAAACCCTAAATCCTCAACCCTCAACCCAAGCCCTTCAAACAAACGAACACACCAAGTCAACCCAAGAAAGTAACCTGAATGGTTTATAAGTGCCTAAAGCAAGTATATACAAACACAACCACACAAAGCCTACCAACCCTTAAAGCAAACCTGTGAAAAAGCAAAAGCAAAAACACCTAAACCCTACCAGCCCTTAATCCTCAACCCAAAACCTCCTTCCCAAGGCAAAATCCGGAGCCTAGACCCTAAACCCTATAGATCCCTTTAAGGAATCCCATAGATTCCTTGAAGGAGGCTGTAAAGAACCCTATAGATTCCAAGAAGGAGCCCTTTAAGGAACCCTTGCTTATGAGCTCCCTAAGCCCTAAACCCTATAAATCCCTCTAAGGAACCCTATAGATTCCTTTAAGGAGCCCTTCCGTAAACCCTGAACCCTACACCCTAAACCCTAAACGAACCCTTACTTATGAGCTTTCCTTGGATCCTTTAAAGAAGCCTATAGATTCCTTTAAGGAGCTGTTTAAGGAACCCTTATTTACGAGTTCCCTAAGCCCTAAACCCTAAACCCTAAAGGAACCCTTCAAGGAACCCTATAACTTCCCTAAACCCTGAACCCTAAACCCTGAAGGAACCCTTACTTATGAGTTCTCCTTGGATCGCTGCGCAGAGCTCAGGCAACGCTCGAAGAGAGACGAGGCTTCGGCGTCGCGGCCATCCTGAAGGGGGTGGGGTCCCAGGTTTAGGGGTTTAGGGATTAGGGGTTTAGGGGTTTAGGGGTTTAGGGGTTTAGGGGTTTAGGGTTCTTGGAGGATCGGGGTAAGTAGACTTATAAGTACCCTAAAAGGGACCCTAATTAGGGTTATGGTACTTGTAAGTCCCTAAAATAACCGGTTACTAAGTCCCCCGACCCTCCAAGTGGGGTCCCAGAGACTCCAATATCCCTTAATTAAGGAATACCTAGGGTTAGGGTTCTAATTAGGGAACATGCCTTAAATCCTTTTTAGGGATCCTACTAGAATTTAAAATATATTCCTTGATTAAGCGATGCTAGAGTCTCTGGGTTGAGGGCTTGGGGTTTAAGGTGTAGGGTTTGGGGTGTAGCATAAGTCATAGTAATTTAGGGGTTTAGGGTGTAGGGTTGACTCTTGGGGTTTAGGGTGGTAGGCTTTGGGCTTGGGGTGTTGGTCTTAGGTTTTAGGGTTCAGGACTTGGGGCTACTACAAAGCACATTATAAATAAACGATACCAGCAAGCTTGCTATCCGGGTTGTTGCAAATGAAGGTCACCGGAATGGGTCACTCTAAGCGTTACTGTAAGGTTTACTTAAAGGTGCTCGACGTTCTCTGTAGACATGACCGATGTCTTCTTGCATCTGAGTTCATGCTGAACTGGAATTGCTGAACGGATCAGGCGCTTCCGTGGGCTTGCAGTTCCGGGTGCTTCAGGGTTTTAAAGACGGCCCTGAACTTTCTGGTGCCTGCCTATAGTGGGGCCCTTGCAGATAGAATATGATATTTCAAGCACATGCAGATAGAATATTTTTTGCAACGGGCCTAAATCGAAAATTTAGGCCCGTAGCAGCAATTGCAGATAGAATATTTTCGAGCGGTAAAAACGATGCGGAAAGAATATTTTGGGCACTTTAGGCCCAACGGCAGCCCTTGCAGATAGAATATTTTTGCTCAATGTGAGACCAGCCATCCGCACGTGCAGATAGAATATTTCCATCCGTGTATACATGTATTCTATCTGCAAGGGCCCCACTATAGGTCCCTCCTGTCTGCATGTCTCTCCAACGATCTGTCTGCTTCTGGTTGCGGACCTGGGGTGTCAGAATGTCCCGACCTGTAACCCTATTCCCTCACTCCCACAGCCCCAAAACGACACTCCTCCACTGGAGACCTCGACCATGCCCTAAAACCGAAAAAAACCTCCAAATCCATGAGTCATGATGACAAGCCGCGCAGACAACCCCAAACCTCGAACTCTCGAATTAAAAAATGCCTCGGCTCGAAGTAAGCCCCAAAACCCTAAACCCATAAAACTCAAACACTGGAAAAACCATCAATCACGAGAACAACATATAACACCCTAATTATACGATGCATCCCCACAGAACCCTTATACACTCTCATGAAACCGTACTACGAACCCCACAAGGCCAGTACACAATCTCATGAAGCCTTTGTTAAACTTTTCGCCGGAAGCCTTTTCACACTGCTCCGCGAGGACCTGGCACACGGTGCTCCTTGGTGGCGCTGCGGCAACTCCACTATGAGAGCTTAGGGTCTAAATCCTAAACCCTAAACCGGGCTTGTATAAGGGTTTAGGGTTGCATTGTGATGCGGGTTTAGGGCTGTGGGCTATGACCGATATTTTAGGAGTGCCTACTTGTGTTTTCTGATTTTCTTAAAAAAACAACGGCTTATAGAGTTGTAAGGATTCGTGGTTTCTTGCTTCAGGTCTAGGGCCTGGGATCTAGAGTTTAGGCTTTGATGCGTCTGGGATTCAGAGTTGCATTGGGTTCACGGGTTAGTCTTGGCGTTTAGGGGTTACAGCTTAAAGACTCGAGGGTGGAGCGCCTAACATTAGATACATGCATATATATATATATATATATATATATACTGATTTATTTATGTATATTTATATCTATATTTATAGACATGTATATACATATATATATATATGTACACCGTTGCATACACAAACAATAGCAGGTTCATGACCCGACGTTGTTATCGCAGACGAGGTATTCGCAAAAATACGAAAGCCCTAAACCCTAAACCCCAAACCTTAAACCCTAAACCTTAAACCCTAAACCGTGCAGCTTCGCCACAACCGGCTCGCGGCTTTGATCTGAAGAGGAAGAGAGTCCGCGGAGGAGGCAATCCTTTGCAGTGTCAGGTTTAGGGCTTAGGATTTAGGGTTTAGGGTTTAGGGTGTAGGGTTTAGGGTTTAGGGTTTAGGGTTTAAGGTTTAGGGTTTAGGGTTTAGGGTTTAGGGTATAGGGTTTCGGGTTCAGGATGTTAGGTTTCCGGGGTTGGGGTGCGCGGCTCTTGATTCTGCACCTGAGCGTTTACAGCTTGTGACTTCTAGCGCACGTTGGTTTTACACATAGGACTTTGTTCTCATGAACCCGGTTCTGGGCTTGCCTTTCGGGCTCCAATGGGCGCAGCACCATACCTGCCAGTTTGGGTGGCACTTATCGCCCGATTTAGTCACCCTCCCGATCCTTCACATTTTCGCTGCTCCTTCACAGTGTTGCATGTGCATGCAGCGTGGTATCTGACTGCACCTACAACTTTTGTAACATGTTAGAGATCTCACCCAGCCGCACTCAAATCTACACAAAGCCTTCAAAGCATACTAAGGGGCCGTAATGATTTTGAATGGGGTTTAAGGGCCCATGATACTGTAATCATAATAAGGAACCCCCAAAAAAATAGTATAGGTAATTACTGAGGCCCCTTTAGTAGATCCACTTCTATCTGCCAGCCGTGGGGCTCAAGAGCCTTCTCGTGGTACTGCATCGCACTTTGCCAGTTGCCGCCCTGCTCCTGCACATGCAAGCTCCATATGAGAGTTTCCGAAAATTACTGGTTCCGTTTTTGGGGTCCTTATATCAAGGATCCTACTATTTAGGGTACTATATTAGGGGCCCCTATTTTGCGGAAACTCCCATATAAAGTCGTTTAAGAAGGGATGGCCGAGGGATGACTGGTGTTCACGGGATGTCGGTTGGAGGTTTCTGGGCTCCTGTTTATGTTCAGGGTTCAGCTGCTTGGACCTCAGCGTGCCGCAATCCTAATCCCTAAAGCCTAAAGCCTAAACCCTAAACCATAAACCCTAAACCCTAGACCTAAACCCTAAACCCTAAACTCTAAACCGTGTAGCTTCAAGGAGCCGGGCCCCAAGCTCCTAACCTAACCGCGCCCCCACCGTCGAACGCCTCCTACCAAAGCTGACGCCTCTACAAGCCTAAACCTCTTAAGCAAGCAACCCCTAAACTCCTATACCCTAAACCCCAAAATCCGAAACCCCAAAACCTTAAACACTCTCAACCCTATACCCCCAAACCTGACTGGGGCCTGAGGTTGAGAGATTTAAGGTTCAGAGAAAGTCATGAATCAAAGGGGAAAAGGAGGGACCCTTAATGGGGACCCCTACCCTATAATGGGCTATATAATGGGTATATAATGGCTATATTAAGGGTATATACCTAGGGATCCTTATTAAGGGTCCCTCCCTTTACCCTTTCAAATGAAGCCTGAGGCCCCATTGAGGGCTTAGGGCTCAGGACCCCCAAACCTCTGAAACCCAATAACCCTCGAAGTTTGCTTCCAAATCCCAATCAGTTAGAAGCTGCCCCCACCCTGTAATAGTGGTATAATAGGAATATAATAGGGCCCTAGTATAGTCCTTATAGTCGCTACAGGGTGGGGGCAGCTTCTAACCAATCAGCGAAACCTCGCGTACAGCATATGAAACTTTACAGCATCCACTTCTACGTCAGACGTCCTCTTAAACAGATCCAGAAAGCAACTTACAACAATCCGCAGCCCTTAAACACTGAACCCCTAAACGCGAATCCCAGACTCCAAATCCCTAGCCCTTTTTTGACATCCGCGCTCCATATAGGTGCCTCAAACAAATCGAATAGAGTCATATACATATATAAAGACTGTAAGGGAATATTTTGGCTTGTTATTACTAAACCCCTACAGCACCCTATAAATCCCTAGAAACCCATTTACAAAACAAGATAGTATGACGAGTTTGTGAAGCTTTTGCCCACCGAAACCATACCATACAGTGAGTTCTACACCCCTAAACCACGAACCCTAAACTCCTAAACCTTCCACCACTATTCCCGAAACCCTGCCTAAACCCCCCTAAACCCCCCTAAACCCCCCTAAACCCCCCTAAACCCCCCTAAACCCCCCTAAACCCCCCTAAACCCCCCTAAACCCCCCTAAACCCCCCTAAACCCCTAAATCCTAAACCCTAATAAGCCCCCGGTCCTCGCAGCTTCCGAGGTTCAGGTTCGCCTTGGCGATGCTTTCCCAAGCTTCCACCTGTGGATTTTTGTAGGGTGTTTCTTGGGTTTAGGATGTAGGGGTTTAGGGTTGAAGGGTTGAAGGGTATAGGGTTTAGGATTTAGGATGTAGGTTTTTAGGTTTTAGGGTTTAGGGGTATTGGGGGGGGGGGGGGGGGGGGGTTTTCGGGTTACGGATTCCAGGCTCAGGGGGGTTTAGTGATCAGTGCGTCAGGGCTTCCGTGTTTCGGGTTGAATTTAGGACAGCTTTGGGGCAGCTTTGTCGGGTTTCGATTTTAGGGTTTAGGGTGGAAGGGTTTAGGTAATGCGTGGTATAGTGTTTGTAGCTTTTGAGCTTCTGGCGTCAGGACGGAGCGCATTTGCTCCTTTCTGGTTGCATGCCTTTGCAGATGTTACTGTCACCGTATCGATTGGAGCTGTTCTTGCAGCTGTGGCCATTACGACGTTTCCTCTTAGCGTCTTTGTTGCGCTGAATTCCTTATAGTGAACCCCAGAAAGTTGGAACATACATTTAGGATGATTAGTGCTAAGATTCCCTCTACTTTACCTTGAGGGCATGAGAATAATGATGTTCCAACTTTCTGGCTTCTACTGTACTACCGCTCTGTTCATACTCCAGTACCATCGCTTCGCCGGAGTGGCTGGAAGAGGGGAGCTGGACACAAACTGCAAAGCCTTTCCAAGAGTGCTTTCTACTTCGGGATCATTGTCGCACCCCTAAACGCCTAAACCCTAAACCCCTAAACCCTACACCCTAAACCCTAAACCCCTAAACCTTTAAACCGAAAGGATGATAAGAAGATAGGAGCCCAAAGCCCAAGCGCTGCCAGCCTCAGCCGCAACATCCGCGCATCTCTGGTAGAAGTACCTGAGTGAGAGGGTTTCGGGCAGTTTGTGTGTATGCATGTTTGTTTGTATTCACTTAACCCTTTACTTCGTTGACTTAGTACTGTAGGGGCCTTCATGAATAGAATAGGGTTTCGGGGTATATTATACTTTGATCATAATCAGAAGCCACCAAAAGCCTATTCTAATTGCTCAGACCCCTATAGTTTTCTACCTTCCCAGGTCAAGACGCATCGCGCTCTTCAGATCCGGAACGGTCTCAAAGAATTCCGCCAAGGAGTTGTAGCTTTCGTAGCCTCGGGCCGACGATTTTCCGGGATCTGCAGCAGATAGGAGTGAGGGCTGAAATCTGGGTTTAGGGCTGAAACCCCGTAAATAAAAAAAGAACATCCAACCCTCGAATGCCTTCAAAAATAAAAGAGCCCTATAATCCTTATACCCTGCATCCCTGACCTTAAACCCTGAACCCACAAAATCCCTAAACCCTAACTCCCAGGAATCTCTAACCCTAAACCGTAAACCCAGAATCCCTAAACCCTAAACCCCAAACCAGAGGAGCAGCATTGCAGGTAGCTCCTGAGCCTCCTCGCAGATTCCGCCTGCTCCAGTGTCTCCTGCAGCTGAGCCACAGGGGCTTCAGGTTTTGAGGTCTAGGGCTTTTGGCTTTTAGGGCTTAGGGCTTCAGAATTTAGGGTTTAGGGGTTCCCTAAACCCTAAACCCTAAACCCTAAACCCTAAACCCTAGTTTACCATCATGGAAAGGTGGGATTCTTAGGGGTTTGAGCGTCGAAGAAGGGTTCCCAAAAGGGGTTCGAGGGCTTAGGGCCTTGGGGCTCGGTCGGGGGCTGAAGCTCTGTTAGGGTTTAAGGTTTAGGGTTTAGTGTTTAGGGTTTAGGGTTTAGGGTTTAAGGTTATCAAGAAGACAGCAGCAACGGTGAGTCTGAGATCCGCAATAGTCAGCAGAACAAGAAAATACTAGCAACGGTTAGAGTTCAGGGCTTGGGGTTTCAGGATTTAGGTTGGCGGCTTACGAATCGACATTCAGGGATATGGCACTTTTGGAGTTTATGGTATTGGGATCCCGAAATCCTACGCCAGTTTGGCACAGACATGGGTCCGCCAGTAAAGCCTTTACACTCAGGGCACTGATCTCCCTCCGTTCGGTCCCAACAAGGAGGCGCCAAAATAAAAGGACGCAAGACATGATTCCTACACCCTAAACCCTAAACCCTTGAATTTCAGCCCCGGCTGTACACCCACATCCGTGAATCGATCGAAAACATACTGGGATCCAACTAAAAGATCTTGCTTCCAAACTTACACTCTGCTTTCAGCTTCTGGGATGTAGAAGATTTTATAGGCTTTAAAACGGATGGTTGTCAAAATTATGGTCTCTTTTTTCCGGTGCCTCAAAAGGTAGGATGAAGGTAGGTGGGATATTCCCAAATAGGAGTCCTTATACAAGGGATCCTTAATCCCACCTACCTTCATCCCACCTTGTGAGGCCTCCGATTTTTGGGTACCCTAAATGTTAGGTGCCGTATTATAATAAGGACCCAAAAAAGGACCCTAATCTTGACAACCACCCAAAACCGTCTAGAAACCCTGCACATGACAGCAGCGATCACGGGTAGGACCCAACCCTCAAGCCTTTCGCGTCAACTGGACCTTACAGCCTTAAAACCCATACCCTACGTCCCTTCACCCAGGTTCTTCCCCCTAACCAGTAAACCCTCCAGCCGTTATTCCAACCCTTCGCATAAGCCTCATACGAACCCTTGCGGTATACTACCTCTTGCGGTATCCCTTGTGCCAAGTAAAGCTCTTCTAGTCGCCCTAGTACCCTAAACCCTGAGCCCTAAGCCCCACTGTGCCTAAACCCTAAACGCTAAACTCTGACCCCTAAACCCTAAACCCCATAAGCCCTAAGCCCAACGGGCCTTGAGGAAGATCAAAGTCTCCTCCGGGATGACGACGTCTTTGACCTGGCTTGGGCAGAAAACAACGGGGGGTTTCATGTCTTTAGGATTCAGGGTTTAGGCGTTTGAACTTTAAGTTTAGGATTTTAGGAGATGGGCCTCTGAGGTTTTCTTCATTCTAGGACCTGGTGTTTTAGGATATATGGCTTCAGGGTTTTTAGAACTTCAGGGCTGGGTTTGAGGAGTTAAGGGTTTAAGGCTGTGGGGCTTTGGGGCTTTGAGGCTTTTGGGTTTGAGGGTTTTGGGGCTTTAGGGTTTTGAGGTTTAGGGTTCAAGATTTATAGTGAACCCCAGAGAGTTGGAACATAGATTTGGGATGATTAGTGCTAGGATTCCCTCTACTTTTCCTTAAGGGCATGAGGATAATGATGCTCCAACTTTCTGGCTTCTACTGTAGGATCTGAGCCTGTAGGGTTATGGGCATTAGGGCCCATTCGGGGCCCACTTGGCCCTAAACCCTAAACCCTAAACCCTAAACCGGGGCCTTCCTAGTTGGAGCGACGCTGTGGGTTGGGTTACGTATTACTGTTGATGATAAAAAAAAAAAAACCTGCACTGCCTTAAGGACCCTAAGCTATGGAAATTATGGTACATTCCTTATTATGGGTAATGCAGGATTTGTATCATCAACCGTATGACGGTATACTTATGCAGGGGTGGAGGTGCAGAAATGAGAGTTTCCGAAAATAGGGGACCCTAACATAGTACCCAAACAGTAGGATCCTTATTATATGGTGCCCAAAGTAAGGTACCCCTAATTTCGGAAACTCCCAAACGGCTAGAAGAATCTGGCGCGATCAATATGGGTCGGGCCAGTGATGGCCATTGCCACGAAGCATCGCGTCTGTTTTCCCTGTACATGGGGGGTTGTCAAGATTAGGGTCCCTTTTTGGGTACCCTAACTAATAAGTGCCGTACTTTTATAGGGACTCAACAAGGGACCCTAATTTTGACCACATTGAAGCGGATGTTGGATGTCGGTTTGACCTTGCCCATACTGCCGAAGCGCATGGGCAGTTCTCCAAACTGGGGTTCCATTTAGCTTCCTTTTTATAGGGGAGCCGTACTAGTTTGAGAAGGACCTAAAACGGGACCCCAATTCGGAGAACTACCCGCATGTTTGAGCCAGCCGCAATAACTCTCATCAGGCAGACCGGCCTCCAACAGTATCATGTTCTCCCGGCACGATGTCTATGCTGGGCTGGTCACGCGAAACAGCCAGTCACGGAAAAGCCTCAACTCTAAAACCCCGCAGCCATCTACAGCTTTACACTTCACACTCAAAGCCCACATTAAGCCACGAAGCCATCGCACCCTGAACCCTACAGTCGAACAACCAAAGAACAAACCCTGATGCCCTCAGAGCCCAATGCCCTTAATCCCGAATACCTCATGCAACTCACGTTTTAAACAACAACTTGTAACAACCTAAAGGAACGTTTTCCAAACCTATGACACCTTTTCGAACTCTGAAGCCCTGAACCCGAGAACCCCGAAGCCTTACACCGCCACGCCAAGCCAGAAACCAAAAATCTGGGTAGCAGAGGGCTCATGGGTGTGTTCGGGGTTCAAGTCCGAGGGATTTAGGGTTCAGGCATTCGGGGTTTGGGGGCTTGGGGTTCAGGGTTCAGGAAATAGCGGTGTTGAGCTTAGGGCCTAGGGCCACAGCCCTCATAGCACGGCGCGCCTCATCCTCGTTGGCACCTTCCTTTGGCGCGGCTTTCCGGTGGGTGATGTAGAAGAAATCCACGTAGGACTGGACGCAGCCTTAGCGGTTTACGGTTTAGGGCTCAGGCCCGCTTAGGCTAGCAATCACCAGCCTCAAAACCCAAAAAAAAACATCGATCCAGTACGGCTGGCAAACATGCCGCGACAACCCTAAGAAAATCTTACAAGCGCCTTGACCCGAAATCTACACTTCACCCCAAGTTCTGAAGCCCGAAACCTTGACATGCTGAACCCCTACGCCCCTAAACCCTTCAACCCTAAACCTCAAAACCGTTAACTCCTACAGTAGAAGCCCCTTAGGGGGTTTAGGGTTCCTTTTAAAGGGATTCATAAAGGCTCCTTAAAGGGATCTATAAGGGTTCTATATAAAGGGGTTTAGGGTTTACAGTAGAAGCCCAAAAGTTGGAAACCCCGTAGCCTCAATCCCTAAGGGCAATGTATATGGAATCCCAGCACTATTTGGCCTTGATCCGGTTTCCAACTTTATGGGGTTTACTGTAACCCTAAACCATTTCACAACAATATTCCTTCGAGCCTTGAAGCAGAACTTCGACTTCCGGTATCCCTGTAGTATCCCTTATACTCTTTGAAAGCCGCAGTTTCTCCTGAGCCTAATCCCTTGAACCCCGAAGCCTGCAACCCAAACCCTTGACCCCAAACCCTTAAAACCTAAACCCTAAGACCCCAAAACAAAACCCACCCCTAAACCCTTTAAACCCTGAACACCCAAAGCTTAAAGCCCAAAGCCCTTCACCAGAAAGCCTAAACCCTTCTAGATCCCTTGTCGTAACACTACTTTTTGCTGAGCCACGTCGACTCCTGTTAAGAACCCTAGCAGCATCCCTTCTACCCGTAAAAGCCCTGAGCCTAAGCCCTTAAAAACCAAACCCTAGGGTTTAGGGTTTAGGGTTCATGCATAGTCTCTTACAGAGCCCGTAAAGTAGCCCTCATACCCTACAAAAAAACCCGAACCCTTGTGGTAACACTACTTCCTCTGGGCCTTGTCCTCTGCGAGCCAATAACCGAAATTTCGGGGTTTAGGGTTTAGGGTCTAGGGTTTAGGATTGAGGAGTTAGGGTTTAGGATTGAGGGTTTAGGGTTTAGGGTTGAGGGTCTAGGGTCTAGGGTTTGGGGTTTAGGGTTTAGGGTCAATAACTCTGAGCCATGGCGCCGACCATTAGGAGATCAATGCAGAGTTGCTGCTTGTCCAAGCCCTTGACCTGACGTAGAGGAGGAGTTTTTGTTGGCTCCTCGGTCTAGGGGTTTAAGGGTTTAGGGTTTAAGGGATCTATAAGGTATCTATAAGGGATCTATAAGGGTACTATAATGGGGTTTAGGGTTTAGGGGTCTAGGGGTTTAAGGGCTTAGGGCTTTTTGTTGGCTCCTACTTGGAGGGTCGGGGGACTTAGTAAGGGCTCCTTTCAAGGGGATTCTAAGGGTTCCCTTAAAGGGCTCTATAAGGGTAGTATATAGGGTTTAGGGTTTAGGGTTCAGGGACTTAGTAGGTAGGTAGTAAGTTGACTTATAAGTACCCTAAAAGGGACCCTCATTGGGGTTATGGTACTTATAAGACCCGAAAATAACCAGTTACTAAGTCCCCCGACCCTCCAAGTAGGTCTAGGGCTTAGGGCTTTCGGGTTTTGGGGCTTTAGGGCTTTAGGGCTTCACGGCTTTAGGGTTTAGGGCTTTAGGATTCAGGGTTTTGGATTTTTGAACGTCTTCGGCATAATGCCCTGAGGAATGGGGTTGGAGTTTAGGTTACAAGACGGTACTGCAAGGGAGGGTGGGTTCAGGACATGACGTGGCAGGGTTCTGAGCGTAGTCTACCATAGATGTGTCGATTAGGTTTTGCGTGTGCGCGTGGGCGTCCAGTTCTTGCTTTCGCTCTTGGTACGGTGATGCACATGGTTCTAACTAGCACAAGTGTCATCATTGTTGCTGTGACTGGTAGTAAAACGCAATTATTGAACATATTTTGCGGTTTTTGGGCTTGAGCGATTGCGTCCTGAGATATATATGAAGAACTGCGGCTTTTAAAGCCGCAATTCCTAAAGTTTAGGGCTCACGAAACTAAGGTGTGGGGTTTGGTTCTCAGGTTTAGGGCTACCCTAAACCCTAAACCTACGAGATTAGGGTGTGAGACTTAGCCCCTAAACCCTAAACCCTAAACCCTAAACCCTAAAATCTAAACCCTAAACCCTAAACTCTAAACCGGGTCCAAGAACGAAAAGAGCTTCGGGCTCGCGGAGGTCCAGGGCTTCCAAATCACGTTGTAGAGTTCCCTTAGGAACTAAACGATTTAGGGTTTAGGGTGAAGGGTTCAAGGTTTAGGGTTTAGGGTTTGGGGTTTAAGGTTTAGGGTTTAAGGTTTAGGGTTTAGGGCTTAGGGTCCCGATACACCCTTAAACAACCGAGCAATGGACCGAAACAGAAGGCCTTGATCAACCGATCGTCCTTCGAATCGGGCTTGTGCGTGCCGTCGTCCTCTGCCACGTTTTGGATGCAGGGCTTTCGGCTCAGGGGTTAGGGCTCGGGGCTCGAGGATTTGAGATCTGGGGCTGAGGTGAAGCTTTTAGGATGTCATGCTTGGGGTTTAGGAGGAGGACTGGATGCTGAGTTGTTGCGATGTATCACTGCCGGTGACATTGACCAGGAAATGACTCCTCGCAGCCATAGTACATAAGACTGATGGGGAGAACATCGTGGCGTTACTGTAGCAGTAGATCCAAACAACAGTCAGACCCAGAATAGGAGCCATCGGTGGCACTGCAACCCGTGCCCCACTATGACGATAGGCATACTGGTTGAAACAGCAACAACAACATCAACAAGAACGAGAAGACCAAAACTTCGGAGGAACATTCAGGGATGTACCGCAGCTGTCCGGGGTTGTTAAGCATTGAAAGCACGATACACAGGGGGCATAAGAACTGCGATTGGCAGGCCTGCAAAGCGTCTTCTCCGACAGCCTCCTGGGGGCCAAGCGGAAGGATTGTGCAAGACTATGCATCAGGGTTTGGGTTTTAGGGTTCAGAGAAACCGAAAAATGCGGTTGCGGTTTGTCTTTGAGGGGTCTCTAACCAACTAGACTCACATCTTTCCCACCCCACGACATCTCTAGTCGGCGACACAAGGCGTTTATCTTCCTAGCAATGGCACCGCAAAACTGGAAGCAAGCCTGCGTGATAGTCACACAAAAGCGACACAACACAAGTCGTGCACAAAAGACGCATTCAAAGCTCTCGTCACAGCGACAGTGGTACAAACTTATATTGCCGTCTTGATAACCTTATTGGCACTGTCCGTAGTCTCCATGACACTGCTGCCAAGTGCAATACCAAAGCCAAATTCAAGAGAAATGTTCGCTTATGGAAACTTGCACTAAGCTTGTGAGTGACGAGCTGAAGCACAACAGCAAAAAAATGGTGGCATGGACAAGAGTACTGATAGTACAAGCTGTACCAACAGCTATGCTATAGTTGTGGAGGTATTCAAGTGCGACTCGCAGCAGTGAGAATGCTCATGCTTGTAAGTCGCAGTTGCAATGTGCTCCATTTCTCATTTTGCTAGTTACGATCATAGGCTCTGTAATACCCATAGCAACAGTAAGCTTTCATCACACACATGTTGTAACACTGCTAGCCAAAGAAAACATATACTGCACTACCACTGACCTTTACCCCACCAAACCACAGGGATCACTTAACCTCAACCGTGCCTTAAACCGAAATCCGGAAAAAGTTGCGGGGCAAGGCCATGTTATGCTTACATCAACTATGCTGTAGGCTGTGCCGAAGAGCAGCAACAGATTGCAACAGGGCTGCGGTAGCAACCCTAAACCCTAAACCCTAAACCAAACGGAACAGCGGGAAGTTAAGGGGTCTCCCGAAGCTTTCAGCCCAGTCAGACTCTGTGTGAAAGCTGCACTCCACACCCTGAAACCCTAAACTCCAAGCCCTCTTCATAATCCAACAATGAACCTCGTGGAGCCCTCTAAGAAGCCCTCAGAGACTCCAATATCCCTTAATTAAGGAATATACCTTAAATTATAGTCGGATCCTTAATATGATTTAAGGTAAGGAAAAGGGACATTGGAGTCTCTGGGAAGAAGCCTTTCGTCTCGAAGAGCCCTCAACGAGAGCACCCCAAAAAGGCGCAAGAGACCCGAGACGCCTCTTCTGCCGCCACCAGTGCATCCTCCATTACGACCTTTCAGTCGTTAGGGCTTCTTAAGGTTAGGGTTTAGGGGTTTATGGGGTTTAAGGGTTTAGGGGTTGAGGGTTTAAGGTTTACGGGTTTAGGGGTTTAATGGTTTAGGGGTTTAGGGGTTTAGGGATTAGGGTTTAGGGCGTTTGAGGTTAGAAGTATGGGCCAAGAATCTGGATCCTTAGGCCTTCTAGGGGAATTTTAGGGAACCTTGGAGGGTACTCAAAGGGTACACAAAGTCGGGAAGAAGGATCCCGGGGTTAAAGGGCCCATACTAGGAGCCCATGGTCTCAACCTTAGATTTATTGCTTTAAGGTTTAGGGTTCAGGGTTTAGCGTTTCGAGGCGCTTCAGGGCACTTTAGGGTTTAAGGTCCAGGGTTTAAAGTTTAGGGCTTAGGGGTTCGAGGCGCTTTAGGGTTTTGGGGCCTTGAAGGTTTGAGGGCTTTCGGGCTTCAGGGCCTGATGGTTTGTGGGCTTTAGAGCTTTCGGGTTTGAGGTTTTTCGGGCTTCAGAGTTTGAGGGCTCTAGGGCGTTGGGGCTCTTGGGGCTTGAGGGTCCTAAGGGTTTTGGGCGTTAGGGCTCGGATTTTAGGTTCTTGAGGCTTCAGGGTTAGGGCTTCGGGTTTAGGGCTCCGGGTTTGGAGCTGAGGGCGTTGCATTGGAAGGCCTCTGTTTGTCATGCTGCAGCACCGCATTTGTCCTAGGGCGCTCAGTGTCCGCATTTCGGTCACGGCTCCTCTTCGCCATGCACCCTTTCATCGAGCCCAACATCCCTGACGCTCAGAGCTTAAGGCGCTTGACCTCAGACGAAGCAGGTGACCTTTCAGCTGAAAAGCACTGAGATTGTTCGCCACCCAGGGACTTCGCGGAACCGGGGGATGAACTACCTTAGGAGTTCTGAAGTTTCCCTTGCAACCCTGGGCGTCCTCCTGCTTTTTGCTCTCCGCACACGCGCTGCTGCGGTTCAGGCTACCGGTGCTCTCCTCAGAGTCCGAAGCGTAGAGGCGAACTGAGTGAAGCACGTGCAACAACCGAGTACTTGATCATTACGTCGTCTCCAGCGTACTGAGGTCTGGACAAAAGGCGTCGTCCTCGGTGCCGCCGGAGATGAACGAACTGCGTCGTGTGCTTCCTGGCCGGAGATTCTACTCTTTTTTTTTGCTGATGGTTTAAGGCGCCTTAACTTAAAGGGATGACCTGCACCGCTCGTGGCCTATCAGCTTTGGCCGGTGGACTTGTCAACGGCGGCCATGGGGCTTCGGGTGAGACTCCTGCTTGGAAGGTCGGGTTTTTGGAGGTTTGGTGCAGTGTGCGCACCACGCAAGTTTGCCGAGGCTCGCGCCGAGCAGCTTCGCCGCTTTTTCTTTGAGCTGCCAGATGCGGCAGTCCCAAAGTGCCTGTGCTAGAGTCTAATTTGCTCATGCCCTTCTGAAGTTGCGGTTCAGTTGGGCCTTCACCTTCACGGTTTCGCCGCTCAAGGTTTCCAGCACCACCTCCGTCCTGATGACTTCAGGATCGTGCGCTGGTCTGGTATAGCAGTATAGCACGGTGTCTGCTGAGGCTGCTGCAGCGCGTGCCGCGGGCATTGAACCTCGCTTCCATACTGGCAGCCGCACCCTGGCTGACATCCCTATTACGGCTTTGCTTGGCACAATTGTATCGAGGTGAGTCTTTCTCCTATGACGATGCTTCTTACTGTGCGGATCTGGTCTGTGTTTTGATCGTAGCGAATGTTTGAAGCTTCAAGACGGCTACGGCGGATGGGATAGTTGTTTCTGCTCTGCTCTGCAAGACGCTACCCTCGCCAGTCTAGAACTAGTCATATCCCTCTCCACAGTGGTGCTCTGTGACCCATACACACACACACACACCCACAACACACACACACACACACACCACACACACACACACCACACACACACACACACAACCCCCACACACACACACACACCCACACACACACGCACGTGTGCTGCGACTGACCGTTCTTTTGGATCTTCAGCCTCCACTTGTTCAGCTGATTTTTGAAATTTGCTGTAATTTGGACAGATGCTTTTGTGTTGCAGCCAATCCTTCCGGGAGGGCTGAGGGTACATGGTGTATTCTAGTTCAGGGGTGAGGGTGTAGGGTTTAGGGCTGATATAGGGTTTAGGGTTTAAGCTGTGAGGATTTAAGGCTTCTGGAGTGGAAAGAATGGCTTAAGGGTACGGTTCAGGGTTGCGGTTCAGCAGGGAATACGAAGGCAGAAACGAATACCAAGACTGTGCCTCAGGGTTCCCTACCACAAGTTTATATATTTGTAAAGCAAAGTATGAGCCATATACACCCGAAAACCAATCTCAATTCTTAAGGCCCGCATATTAGGTAGCTTGTCGAGTGGCCCAGCGAAACTTACACCTGACCAGTGCCAGATAATGGGGTGGACTATCCAAAAGCGTCGAAAATGACTGGGGCTTGGGCTGGCTAGTCATTTCAGGGCCTCAATGACTAGACTAGAGCTTTGAGCTTTGCGGCATGCCATGCTACAATGCAGGCTTGTCCCGACCGATATACTATGTATCATGCGATGCTAGCGAAGACTTCAGGTAGTTGCGGCGTGTCTCACTTGCTGCTTTAGGGATTGACGATCCTGGGCTTTGGGCTTCCAGCAGACGTATATGGGAACCTTCAAGTAAAGGAACCATAAAACCGATCCCCCAAGAGATGGGACGTCACATAAAGACACAAAGCTGATATTGGTTTTGGGCTTCGGGCTTAAGGGCTGGCCGCTCCGCTCCGGTGCCAACCGGAGCAAGAACCAGAAGTGACTCTCAGAAGCGAGCACACTCGGGCGATAATGCAGAGACCCTCGGAAACTAAAACAACTCGCGAGCCCCCCCCAAGTACCAACAGAATCCGACTCACAGTCCTCAAGTGAAACCTGACACTAGCTCCTCGCCGCCGCCGAAAGTTGGGATTCAGAGCTCCCCCGAGCCCACATCCTGAAACCCAAGACCCTCTATACAACCTACGTGTACAGAGTATAAACCCTACGCTTCCCTAAACGCTGTGAGCGAGCCCGCACCCCCTAAACGCAGTACCATGCAACCGGTCAACCCCTAGAATCCTCTCAACACCCTACAAACCCTACAGAAACTGATAAAAATTTCAATCCGCCTGTTAAGACCCTGCAGCAGCCTGTAGACATACCTGCAGGACCTCTACTTAAACCATTAAGCCTTACCTAAATTTCAAAGGGCCCCAAAAGAACCATGATTGTTACTATTACTGCTTTGTTATATCTAACATCATCATCATCATCATCATCATTATCATCATCATCACCATTCTGGTGATGACCTCTATAATACTTATTGTGATGACTTTTGTTACTATTATTATCGCAATTAATTCATATGATCAGAATATTACTGGCTTCGAAAGAATGCTCGGATGGAAACCCTAAACCCTAAACGCCGAAACCCTAAGCCCTAAACCCCAAAACCCTAAACCCCTAAACCCCAAAACCCTAAGCCCTAAACCCCTAAACCCCTAAACCCTAAACCCTAAACCTCTAATTACACCCCTAAGCCCTAAACCCCAAAACCCTAAACCCCTAAACCCTAAACCCTAAACCTCTACACCCCTAAGCCCTAAACCCCAAAACCCTAAACCCCTAAGCCCTAAACCCCTAACCCCTAAACCCCTAAGCCCTAAACCCCAGAACCCCAAACCCCTAAACCCCTAAACCCTAAGCCCTCTTGGGCCCCAAGCCGCTTCAGGTCCTGTGCCCGGCGTGGGCAGCCCTTCCGCTGCCTGCAGGGACCAGGATCTTTGTTAAGGAGTTTGGGTTTGGGGCTTCAGGATTTTAGGGTTTAGAGTTTAGGGTTTTTGGGGTTTAGGGTTTAGGGTTTAGGGTTTTAGGGTTTTAGGGTTTTAGGGTTTTAGGGTTTAGAGTTTAGGGGTTTTGGGTTAAGGGCTTTAAGTTGTTTGTTTTAAAGGCCCCTTTTGGCAACCGCAAGAGAACCGGAAAACTAAGCTTAACCTACACCCAAGAGCGAGCAGAACCCTGCACCTCGTACCCTAAAGTCTTACCAAATCCAACATGCTTCAATCGAAAGCTCTACTAGTTTCTACTGCAACATCATCCCCCACCCCCGCACGCCGGCGGTAAACCGAACTTAAATCCTGAACCCCAAAACAACTACAAACTCCCCCAAACTTTGACTTCAACCAACAAACCCTTGTAGTACTGGTACTAGTACTAGTACTACTAGTACTACTCCTCCTCCTGCTGCTGCGACGACGACGACGACGACGACTACTACTACTACTACTGCTAGTCGTGGTCGCACGAATCCGACCTCCTCTTCGTCGTCGAGCACCCGGAGCTCCGCCGGGGCCTCGTCGCTTGGGAGCGCTGTGTGCGTTTCAGGACTTCGGTCGAGAGCTGAGAGTCTGCTTTTTTGAGGGGGGTTTAGGGTTTCGGGTTTAGGGAACCGGGTTTAAGGTTTAGGGTTCAGGGAATAGGGTTTAGGGTTTAGGGTCGAGAGCTGAGCGTCTGCGTTTTAAGGAGGGTTTGGGGTTTCGGGGTCCCTAAAGAGGGTTTAGGGCTTAGGGGCCCATACAAAGGAGTTTAGGATCTATATTAGGGGTTTAGGATTTGGGGTTTAGTGTTTAGGGTTGAGGGTCCAGGGTTTAGGGCTTAGGGCTCTGGGGTTTTAGGGTTTAGGGCTTCAGGGTTAAAGGGCTTGGGGCGCGATGTCTAAGTTTCAGGTGCTGTGCCGCAATCCCAAGGAGTCGACGGTTAATCGGCTAGCTTAAAGGGAACTCCAGAAAGTTGGAATATGGTTTCATGGTAGGATACCCTATAATTTACCATAAAGGGTTTAGGATAATCATATTCCAACTTTCTGGCTTTTACCTCAAGGTGTCTAGGCAATTCGAAGTTACAGCTTTGTGCTTCGGGGTGCGAGCGTCGGACCCTTGAACCCCAAAATCCGAAATCCTAAACCCCG